TTAATCGTCCCTCCTTTATTTCGTAGCTTTATTTCTCTCTTGAAAGGCTGAGAAAATTGAGTGGAACATTGGCTTGTTCGTGTCTCCTCACATGAGATGACTTCACATTAACTATTAGGAAGGGAAGGAAGATAATATGCGAAGTTCGTGTCACATCCTGACGCCAAACGCTTAAATAGTTCCCGTTTACACATCAGATTGTTTCTCAGATTGTTGAAATGCGGACGTTATATTCGAAGGTCATGTAATGGTCTATTGTGCAGCCAATTCAACAATATCACTATTTAAGCTGAAATTAGAGTCACATAAACAGGTGACAGCAGAACTGACATCTTCTGTATACCACTTCCTCACCATCACATTGTTCAGTACAAGGGAGACTACTCCGTCAGGTTTCATGAAGCTCTCACTGAAAGGTAAGTGTGCACAGACAGTGGAAGTGACGGGTTTCACGAAGCTCTTACTGACAGGTAAGTGTGTACAGACAGTGGAAGTGACGGGTTTCAGGAACTCTGACTGACAGGTAAGTGTGTACAGACAGTAGAAGTGACGGGTTTCACGAAGCTCTTACTGACAGGTAAATGTGTACAGAGAGTGAAAGTGACGGGTTTCACGAAGCTCCCACTGACAGGTAAGTGTGTACAGACAGTAGAAGTGACGGGTTTCACGAAGCTCTGTCTCACAGGTAAGTGTGTACAGACAGTGGAAGTGACGGGTTTCACGAAGCTCTTACTGACAGGTAAGTGTGTACAGAGAGTGGAAGTGACGGGTTTCACCGAAGCTCTGGTCTGACAGGTAAGTGTACAGACAGTGGAAGTGACGGTTTCAATGAAGCTCTGACTGACAGGTAAGTGTGTACAGACAGTGGAAGTGACGGGTTTCACGAAGCTCTTACTGACAGGTAAGTGTGTACAGAGAGTGAGTGAAAGTGACGGGTTTCACGAAGCTCCCACTGACAGGTAAGTGTGTACAGACAGTAGAAGTGACGGGTTTCACGAAGCTCTGTCTGACAGGTAAGTGTGTACAGACAGTGGAAGTGACGGGTTTCACGAAGCTCTTACTGACAGGTAAGTGTGTACAGAGAGTGGAAGTGACGGGTTTCACGAAGCTCTGTCTGACAGGTAAGTGTGTACAGACAGTGGAAGTGACGGGTTTCACGAAGCTCTGACTGACAGGTAAGTGTGTACAGACAGTGGAACTGACGGGTTTCACGAAGCTCTTACTGACAGGTAAGTGTGTACAGAGAGTGAAAGTGACGGGTTTCACGAAGCTCCCACTGACAGGTAAGTGTGTACAGACAGTAGAAGTGACGGGTTTCACGAAGCTCTTACTGACAGGTAAGTGTGTACAGAGAGTGAAAGTGACGGGTTTCACGAAGCTCTGTCTGACAGGTAAGTGTGTACAGACAGTGGAAGTGACGGGTTTCACGAAGCTCTTACTGACAGGTAAGTGTGTACAGAGAGTGGAAGTGACGGGTTTCACGAAGCTCTGTCTGACAGGTAAGTATGTACAGACAGTAGAAGTGACGGATTTCACGAAGCTCTTACTGACAGGTAAGTGTGTACAGACAGTGGAAGTGACGGGTTTCACGAAGCTCTTACTGACAGGTAAGTGTGTACAGACAGTAGAAGTGACGGGTTTCACGAAGCTCTTACTGACAGGTGGTTTCACAGAACAGTGTGTACAGACAGTGGAAGTGACGGGTTTCACGAAGCTCTTCTGACAGGTAAGTATGTACAGACAGTAGAAGTGACGGATTTCACGAAGCTCTTACTGACAGGTAAGTGTGTACAGACAGTGGAAGTGACGGGTTCCACGAAGCTCTTACTGACAGGTAAGTGTGTACAGACAGTAGAAGTGACGGGTTTCACGAAGCTCTTACTGACAGGTAAGTGTGTACAGAGAGTGAAAGTGACGGGTTCCACGAAGCTCTCACTGACAGGTAAGTGTGTACAGACAGTAGAAGTGACGGGTTTCACGAAGCTCTTACTGACAGGTAAGTGTGTACAGAGAGTGGAAGTGACTGGTAACAACAGCCACCGCGAGACACGGGAACACTCCCACTGTGAGGTACACCGTTAGAGGGAGTGTAGACAGAAGGTAGACAGGTAATTGGGTCTGTATCCTCCCAGCAGAATTCCAGCATTACATAGATGCAATGATTTGTGCTTGCACGAACGCACGCACACACACACAGACACACACACATATTACATCAACACCAGCAGCTGTGTGAGGGTCATATTGTACACCCAGTCTAGGCCTGTTTTTGAACTGGACAAATTGTTGCTGCTTGCTGTACATAATTATCACTCACATAGTTGCTAACTTGTTATAATGTCTGTTTTTATGTTCTATAATCTCTGTTTTTACGTTCTATAATCTCTGTTTTTACGTTCTATAATCTCTTTTTTACGTTCTATAATCTATGTTTTACGTTCTATAATCTGTTTTTACGTTCTAAAATCTCTGTTTTTACGTTCTATAATCTCTCTTTTTACGTTCTATAATCTATGTTTTACGTTCTATAATCTCTGTTTTTACGTCCTATAATCTCTGTTTTTACGTTCAATAATCTATGTTTTACGTTCTATTGTTTGTGTCCTGTCATTAAATTTGTAATTAAACTCTTTAATGTACTGCCATTCGAATAACCTTGCAGCATATTGTGTTGATGTGTTAACTTCGGTTATTTTGGAATACAAATTGCCCACTGTGTAACATTTCTTTGTTGTTTGTGATTTGTATGTCATCTTGTCCCAAAGGCGTAGATCAATGTTGCTGATATAAATAACTGGATACCCTGATACAGGTCCCAGGGTCGACAATATACAGACATATAGGTGGAGTTAGATGGAAATGTTGGCTCCAAAAGACCCCAACAAAACAGGGAAGGGTCAGACACAAGACAAACACAAGGGTCAGACACAAGACAAACACAAGGGTCAGACACAAGACAAACACAAAGGTCAGACACAAGACAAACACAAGGGTCAGACACAAGACAAACACAAAGGTCAGACACAAGACAAACACAAGGGTCAGACACAAGACAAACACAAGGTTCAGACACAAGACAAACAAAAGGGTCAGACACAAGACAAACACAAGAGTCAGACACAAGACAAACACAAATGTCAGACACAAGACAAACACAAGGGGTGAATGGTTAACGCAGAGGAAATGTTATTGCTGTTGCACGGTACGTGTTTCAGCTCTCGGAAGTTTGAGATTCACAGGAAACAGATGACATATCATATATTCAGGAAGCTATTGTTTATTGTTGCCAGCTATAATCACCAACATGTCCGTATCACTATACGAAGAGTCGTGATCAGTGCTGTAACGGGGCAGCTTTCTTAGTTCCTGGTGCGTCTGTTGTCGGGCCATCAACATGGCACTGTCAGATGACGACAGGGCGATTCTATCAGTGCTGATGAACCACCTTCGCCTACAGCATCAGTCGAGGGAAACTTCAGAAAGAGAATGCGGTCGACACTCTTCAGTACTCGTGTCTAATTGGTTCTGGTCTGGGAGCTGACTAGTCTCATCCCCCTCCCTTACATCCTCTGTACTCGTGTCTCCTTGGCTCTGGTCTGGGAGCTGACTAGTCATATCTCCCTCCCTTACACCCTCTGTACTCGTGTCTCCTGGGTTCCGGTCTGGGAGCTGACTAGTCACATCTCCCTCCCTTACACCCTCTGTACTCGTGTCTCCTGGGCTCCGGTCTGGGAGCTGACTAGTCTCATCTCCATCCCTTACATCCTCTGTACTCGTGTCTCCTGGGCTCCGGTCTAGGAGCTGACTAGTCACATCTCCCTCCCTTACATCCTCTGTACTCGTGTCTCCTTGGTTCTGGTCTGGGAGCTGACTAGTCATATCTCCCTCCCTTACACCCTCTGTACTCGTGTCTCCTGGGTTCGGTCTGGGAGCTGACTAGTCACATCTCCCTCCCTTACACCCTCTGTACTCGTGTCTCCTGGGCTCCGGTCTAGGAGCTGACTAGTCACATCTCCCTCCCTTACATCCTCTGTACTCGTGTCTCCTTGGTTCTGGTCTGGGAGCTGACTAGTCATATCTCCCTCCCTTACACCCTCTGTACTCGTGTCTCCTGGGCTCCGGTCTGGGAGCTGACTAGTCATATCTCCCTCCCTTACACCCTCTGTACTCGTGTCTCCTGGGCTCCGGTCTGGGAGCTGGCTAGTCACATCTCCCTCCCTTACATCCTCTGTACTCGTGTCTCCTGGGCTCCGGTCTGGGAGCTGACTAGTCACATCTCCCTCCCTTACATCCTCTGTACTCGTGTCTCCTGGGCTCCGGTCTGGGAGCTGACTAGTCACATCTCCCTCCCTTACATCCTCTGTACTCGTGTCTCCTGGGCTCCGGTCTGGTAGCTGACTAGTCACATCTTCCTCCCTTACATCCTCGTAGTGATGTAGCGCCATGTACCCACTGCTGGGGATACCGCCTCATCAGCCGTATCATGTTTTCTGTAACACAAGATCCAACTTTGTTAAACAAATAAAAGACCACATATTCGGATCCATTCACACTTACGATCCCTGCATTTCATTTTCTATTTTCTGTAAACATTATTGAATATTCATCGATGACATGTGTTTACTTAAAAACATTGCTTAGGCTGCAATGCCTCTATCTACATATCAATCTTCGACGCGTGAAAATACCGACTCTATGAGATAGACAAGCAGTCTGACTCCAACTCCCCTCCATATAATCAATACACAGTTTGCTTTGTAATAACATGGATCCCCTGTAAACACAGTTATAATTAGTTCTAATACCAAGGTTTCCGAAAATGCGATCATGCACAAAGCAATGTTGTTGTACTCGGACACACTATTACTTTTTATTTTTAAATCTCTTCAAGATGTCTCCCACTACAGTTCGTGAAGTGACCTGGAATGTTAGAACTGTGATACAACAAGAGTGTGCTCGGCTGTACTGCAAAATGATTGCATAATGGTGGTTAAATTAATGTTAATGACAACATCTCATCATTTCTGTAAAAACAGACTAAAATCACATGAATTATCAACGAATTTCATCAAACTATATAATTATTGTGTAGTTAGTGGTGATGGTGTAACCCACCTGTTTGTGGACAGCAACCCATCTTGTCTCTAAATATCAATAACATCAGGTGAGTTGCCTTAATCTAACTGTATAACTGTGTTGTAGTTGGTGGTGATGGTGTAACCCACCTGTTTGTGGACAGCAACCCATCTTGTCTCTAAATATCAATAACATCAGGTGAGTTGCCTTAATCTAACTGTATAATTGTGTTGTAGTTGGCGGTGATGGTGTAACCCACCAATTTGTGGACAACCCTCTGTGGTAGCAGCAGCAACCACACAGACCTGTTGCTAGGATACAGATGACAGCCAGCACAAGATACTTCACTGTGTCTATGTCTATTAGTGGAACATCTGAAAGTAATAAATAACTGTAAATCAGAACTATGTTTTTACTGAAAGTGGTCAAATGTTATTGAAACATTATCTGGGAATTCATCATGTCAGTATGTTGGCGTTGGAGGTTTATATTTCTTACAATTTGTGTTAGCATATGGCCCATAACTAAAGTTACCGTTTTTCTTTTCTCAAAGTAGACAATACGTAATTACCGGTCCAATATAATCTTTGTTTTCAAGATAAGTCAGTACCTCCACACAGTCAGTTCCTTATGTCAAACTGTAAAATGCTGCTTCACTTTTGATATATGATCATATTATGTAGGACAATTTAAGGTTGTGATTCCAGAATTAACTACGAGCTCTGTTGTATGGCAGTCCTAGGTGATCTTTGAGGATTACCTACCTGTGGGACAAGCCCGGGAGGACAGCCAGGTGATGACACGTTGTGTGTGCAGTTGTACCTGCACCCGGTGACGTTGTGTTCACCGGAGTTTGTAGCAACACCATCAAGACATACAGTACATACATTACAGGGCACCACACAACCAGATGTACCATTACTGCAACCACTGCAACAAGAGGCGTTGATTGAGGCACAGGTGAGGTTGAGGCATTGCTCCAGGCAGCTTTCACAAGCAGATCTGAACTGTTCACACCCCACAACACACGCACCTACCTGGTTACACCTCTGGTGCTGGCAGTTAGAGGTGCATCGCCGTGAACACTTGGGGCCATACCAGCCATCAACACAACCGTAGACACACTCGCCAGTCTGGCTGTGACACTCAGGTGGACACGTGTCTCCATCTGGACATTGTCCACCCGTGGTCAGGGAGGGGTTAGGTCGACAGGTGTCACTGCAGGCTTCAGTACAGCCGTCACCATAGAAACCTTGTCTGCATCCCTCTGTACAGCCACTCTCACACCCTCCGACACAGTTCTCACATGAGTGTCTACACTCTACTCCAGAATAAGGAGGGTGACACTCCTGTGATCCTGTTGCAGGACTTACATCTGCTGGAACATGTCTTACATCCTGCTCCGTAGTAGGAGCGGCTGCAACCAGAGAAACAAGCTCCAGCCACCTGACAATACTCCCCATCACATCCACCTGGGCACCTGGTACAGCCTACCTGGAGAGTGTCACATGGCCTGTGACAGGTGAGACCCTGGAATCCAGGTATACAACCAGCAGTACATCTCCCAATACCTTTGTCAGGGAGCAGCTCACACGTGTGGTACCTGCACCTGCTGCTGCAAACATCCCTGCAGTTGGGGCCGAAATATCCTCTGTGGCACTTGGTACTGCATTGACCTGTCTGTTCATCACACTCAGTATAATGCTGGTTGTTGGGACATTTGGCACCTGTAGATGAATATACCTTATAAACAATGAAAGTTCTTTGCTATAAATGTTCGGTCAGTGATTTATTTTAAAAACACATGATCACTTGATTCAATATTTTACCGTGCTGCTGAAACGTCTGAATCTCTGAAAGGTCTTACGACAGCTCGAAATATTACTACAAAAAATAGGAATTGGTCGGTTTGACAAGTACAGTGACGCGGTATCAAGTGAAGATCTTTACATGGGTGATATCAAAAGTCATCGATCTACTTGACAATCACAACTGATCCGCAATATTTCCACAGAGTGGCGTACTTTAGAAACGTTTCTTTTGTCATGTATTTAACCACATCTAACAGAATACATGAATCGGTTAAAACCACTATTGTGTGGATCATGGTATCATAATTGTCTTACCAATGAACTATGGATTTGAATGGTGACTATAGAATGTTAACTGAATGAATGTTGCTTTCACCTATATTTAATAAAGATTCCTGTTTTGCCTGAGATCATCTCTGCTTGTGTTTTCAGGCGTGGAGATCCAGAAGCTAGTTCCCCGAAATAATTCTAAGTTTGAACGGTCACACAGCAAGACTGTTCCAAAAGGAGCTGAGGCAGATGTTAGCGTAAGATCAACCGGTACAAGTTGGGCACACCTAACCGACAGGCTGTGTTACCAACAAACATTGTCAAATAGTATCATTTTTAACAACTCATTACAATTCTTATGCCAGCATGTTTACGACCCCATGATAATGTCTGATCTGTTCTGTCACAAACAAATACGTTACATATCTGCTCACATGTTGAGGTGATAATCACGTGTCAAATCACCAAGATCCTCACAGGCCACATTGCCTTCCTGAAACTGAAACGAACTGAACTCAAACAACATTATATATCCAGTTAGTGGATGCAGTTCCATCAAATCATGACTTTCATCTCCGTAACTCATACATACAATGATATAATGATCAAAACTTGAACAGACCCGTGTAATATCAATGCCGTCAAAGATCTGTAATACAACATTTGATCTAACTAACCAATGTTCTGTTACAAGATATTCCCACATGATAATCTTCAGCAGATCTGTGATTCAACGGTGAAAACATGGCGAATGTATTGGGGGTCGGTGTTTAAAATATATTATTAGATTTTACATTGAATTAATGTCACAAAACGACAAGGAAGTTTTACTCATACGAGTGTGACGTTTTGTGCCATATCTACCATGAAACAGAAAATGTATGTTTGTAATGATCGTGTTTCATCAAATTTTGCATTTGTATCATAGGGCCAAAGTCATGTTAATAACAATAATAATTTCACGTATTTCCTGGTAATGCATTTTGTGTTTTATACCCTATAAATTTATACTCCTAATTTAGATGTTTGTATCAAGGCACAGGCAAACTGTAGTGCAATGGGGTTGAGCAACAGAGAGGAAAATGCCACGAGTGGCGCTTAAAATGTTGAATCGAATATACTTTACCTGAGTAACTATCAAATATAAGTTTTGAAACCTTGGAGCACGATTTTGTCTTTGAACAAGAAGCCGATGTCTTTCAAGTTGGCCTTGGACTCACCTTGCCGATGAAAGAATGAACAAAGCTTCTACACATGGAAAGCTATAGGATATATAACCTGCACATCTGTACAACAAAGGGTCTCCACACCACTGATTTTCCAAAACACGCGTGAATTGAAAGGATTTTTTTCTTTTGGAACAAATCGCATCTTTAAAGGAAATATAAACCACCATTGACAGTAAATCTGTTTCCGCAAGCACCACGTGACTGTAACCTGGGCCAGGCTACGCTGACAACTTCGCTGATATCTGGCATTGTCTTTGGTAGTGACTCGTGCTGATGATGTGGTCCAGATCGTACAATGGACGTTCGTAAACAGTAATATGGTATAAAAATGAAGACCATTCGTAAAGGAACAAAGAATCCAGGATCAGATCTCATTATAACCGTTTAACAGTACTTGTCCAAAAGTCAGGAAATTTCTCTGTTTGAATGCAAAACATTTGACCAGGCCTTGATGGGGAAACCTTGAAAGAAGGAAGATAAAACTGGGTCTTTCCAGATATTTGAATGTACTTTATAGGAACTGAGCTTGGTGATGGAACAGAGGTTGTCATTATTTCCAGCTTCTACACATGGGAAGCTATAGGATATATTACCTGCACATCTGTACAAGAAAGGAACAAAGGGCCTCCACAGGTACATATCGGAACCACAGGTACATATCGGTACCGCAGGTACATATCGGTACAACAGGTACATATCGGTACCACAGGTACATATCGGTACCACAGGTACATATCGGTACCACAGGTAATATCGGTACAACAGGTACATATCGGCACCACAGGTAATATCGGTACAACAGGTACATATTTGTACAACAGGTACATATTTGTACAATAGGTACATATCGGTACCACAGGTACATATCGGTACAACAGGTTCATATTTGTACAACAGGTACATATCTGTACCACAGGTACATATCGGTACCACAGGTACATATCGGTACCACAGGTACATATCGGTACAACAGGTACATATTTGTACCACAGGTACATATTTGTACAACAGGTACATATCGGTACCACAGGTACATATCGGTACAACAGGTACATATTTGTACAACAGGTACATATCGGTACCACAGGTACATATCGGTACAACAGGTACATATCGGTACATATCGGTACAACAGGTACATATCGGTACCACAGCTACATATCGGTACAACAGGTACATATTTGTACAACAGGTACATATCGGTAAACAGGTACATATTTGTACCAAAGGTACATATTTGTACAACAGGTACATATCTGTACCACAGATACATATCGGTACAACAGGTACATATCGGTACCACAGGTAATATCGGTACAACAGGTACATATCGGTACCACAGGGAATATCGGTACCACAGGTACAGGTACATATCGGTACCACAGGTACATATCGGTACCACAGGTACATATCGGTACCACAGGTACATATCGGTACAACAGGTACATATTTGTACAACAGGTACATATCGGTACCACAGGTACATATCGGTACAACAGGTACATATTTGTACAAGAGGTACATATCTGTACCACAGGTACATATCGGTACAACAGGTACATATTTGTACCACAGGTACATATTTGTACAACAGGTACATATCGGTACCACAGGTACATATCGGTACAACAGGTACATATTTGTACAACAGGTACATATCGGCACCACAGGTACATATCGGTACAACAGGTACATATCGGTACATATCGGTACCACAGGTACATATCGGTACCACAGGTACATAGCGGTACCAAAGGTACATATCGGTACAACAGGTACATATCTGTACCACAGGTACATATCGGTACAACAGGTACATATCGGTACAACAGGTACATATCGGTACAACAGGTACATATCGGTACAACAGGTACATATCGGTACCCCAGGTACATATCGGTACAACAGGTACATATCGGCACCACAGGTACATATCGGTACCACAGTTACATATCGGTACAACAGGAGACCCAGAGTCACACAAGAAGAAACTGCACACCTTTTCCTCAGTTTTACGAAATCTCTACAGTGTATAATTCTTACTATATGATAAGCAAGTGTTTATGAATCACATGATGCCAGATGCTAGCCTGCCCACCCGTTCTACCCGACGTAAAACATGCAAAGGCCAGTCGGTTGTTCTACTGCATTTGTCAACTGACTTTTGACACCACATCTCTTCAAGGGCGTGGCACGATGCCTAGTGTCAAATCCGACAGATTTCGATATTATCCTGTCAACAGTTATACGGTGATTAAGGAAAACATTACAAATCATGTTGTTACAGTTTTTGCATTAAAATGACATGCCATAAAATAATGGACAGTTTCTTTATTCTAGCAGCATATATGTACAGCAGCATGACCCCACAGTCCAATAGGTGTACACCATCGAGACCCCACAGGGAAATATTTGTACAACATCGATACTCCACAGATAAATATTTGTACAACATGGAGACTCCACAGGGAAATATTTGTACAACATCTGGTACAGTATACAAAACCCACCGACTTACGACTGGTTTAGTCGAGTTCTGGGTGAATAGATACCGCGCGATTAGCAAAGAAAGAGCTTGGGTGACACTTAGTGAGTGAATCAACTTATCATAGTGGGCAATACTATTCACATACTTGTTGTGGTTGAATAGTATTTCAAGATCTGTCATATAGACCGTTATGTCTCCCACTCGATCGCCTCCATGGTGTACTGCATAGCGAGTAGTCTATGGTTTGATTGTTTTACATTTTGGTGCAGGTACACTGGATCTAAGAAATAAAACACTGTGAACACATGTACAGCCAGTGCAAGTAAGCTAGAGACCATCTGCATCCGGGAACGGGTGCAAAGTCGCTCTTTAATATATGTCTGACATGTGTCAGTGTTTAGTGTTGGAGAAAGTCAAATAACGTCGGATAGTGACATTTACCACCTCGATGAAGTCACGACCAGGCCACGGTGATTTAAGAACAAGAGTAAATCTGAAAGTTGAAAGCATGTGTAACTGATCCTGACACACCTAAGGGACACAACTCAGTTCCTGAATGTACGGCGAATGTACAATCGGTACCAGTGACAATAAATAGAGAATCTCACCCAAGTGTCTTTTGATATCCAATATAGCACCAGGAGTTGATGAAGTAACAAATATCCGAGGCTTGCCGAGGATATTTGTGCTTTTATCAACGAGTGTTGATATATTTGATATCAGAAGACACGAGGGTGAGATTCTATTTATCATCAAAATCACTCTTCATTAGTTTTTAATTAAAAATGTACATCTCTGAACACAGTACTGCCATTGTGGATTTGCAGTGCAGCGATGTCATAGCATTGTGGCGTCATCAAGTTCATGTAGCCATATCATTGTCAGGGCATTGCACTGTCAAAACGAAATCAGGTTTTGATGATAAATCGAGTTACACAATTGTCCAGGTGACATGCGTCATACCTAAAACAGCGATAGTATTCGATCATGTTTCTTTGTTCGTGCAATGTCTGCTGCTGTTGCGCCATTTTTGTTTACATCCTTGACGTCTACACCCGGCAGCGGGAGGAGGTACTGCACCATCTGCACATTGCATTCCTCATCCCCTCCAGCACAAGCGACGTGGAGGATGCTGTGGCCGTCATCATCAACAACAGTTGAATCACAACCTTCCTGAACAAGGAAATCCAACACGTCTATGTGACCTCCCTCTGCTGCCACCATGGCTGCTGTCTTCCCGTAGCGGCCTCTGCTGTTGATATCAATAGACGTCTCCATCAGAACCTTCTCCACAATGTCCTTGTTTCCTCCACTGGAAGCCAGATGCAGTATGTTGTTATTGTAATCATCCATCAGCTTCATGTCGCCCCCTTCTTTCACAAGTAAGTCAAATATAACTTTACAACCGCGGTTGGCTGCCACCATTAATGGCGTCCTTCCCTGTCGCCCAGCACTGTTGATGTTGAAAAGGTGTTTGAACAGTAGATAGTTGACAATGCTCACATTATCTCGGATGCAGGCCAGTTGGAGCATATTATCACCATAATTGTCCACGAGTAGAAGACGTGCATGTTCTCTCGTGAGTAGGTCCAACACGGGTCTGTTTCCCTGACGTGCCGCCAACATGGCTGGTGTCTGTCCTCGGCGGTCTCTCGTGTCGATGTCAACAAGTTCAAGTTTCAGGAGTTCATTCACCATCTTCACATTGTTTCCTAAGCAGGCCAAATGTAGGAT